GGAAGATTGGGACAATGAAAACTCCAAAACACTGCTTACAGAAACTCCAGAAGACATAAATAAGTGGAAACACTTCCCATGTTCATGGATTATAAGATTTAATAGTATTAAGATGTCTGTATTACCCGTATAACACCCATCAAAATACAAATGCTTTTTTTTTTCTTTTTGCAGTACTGGGGATTGAACTCAGGGGTGCTTTACCATTGAACTACATCCCAGTCCTTTCAGACAGGGTCTTGCTAAATTGACAAGACTGGCCTCAAACTTATGTTCTTCCTGCCTCAATCTCCTTAGTCAGTGGACCAATGACTTAAGAAACATTTTTTAATTTAGCAAAAATAGAAAATTCACATAGACCTCAGATAAAGCATTAATCTCTAGGATATATAAAGACTACAAAAAAACTTAACACCAAAAAAACTGATAGCCCAATCAATAAATGGGCTAAGGAACTGAACAGACACTTCACAGAAGAAGAAATACAATCAGTCAACAAATATATGAAAAAGTGTTCAACATCTCTACCAACTAGAGATATGCAAATAAAAACTACACTAAGATTTCATCTCACTCCTGTCAGAATGGCAATCATCAAGAATACAGGCAACAAGAAATATTGACAAGGATGTGCGGGAAAACATACACTCATACATTGCTGGTGGGACTGCAAATTGGTGCAACCACTATGGAAAGCAGTATGGAGATTCCTCAGAAAACTTGGAAAGGAACCACCATTTGATCCAGCTATCCTATTCCTCAATTTGTACCCAAATGACTTAAAATCAGCATATTACTGTGATGCAGCCATGCCAGAGTTTACAGCAGCTCAATTCACAATAGCTAAACTATGGAACCAACCTAGGTGTCCTTCAACAGATGAATGGATAAAGAAAATGTGGTATATATATTTAATGGAATATTACTCAGCTTTAAAGAAGAACGAAATTATGGCATTTGCTGGTAATGGATGGAGTCAGAGAATATCATGCAAGCAAAATAAGGCTGAATGTTTTCTCCAATATGTAGATGCTAATTCACAATGGGTGTGGGGGCATTAGGGAAGAATATTATTACCTTAGATTAGGTAGAGGGGAGTGAAGGGAGGGGAAGGGAGGGGATATGGGCATAAGGAGGTTAGTAGAATGAAACATTATTACTTTATGTATATATATGACTGCAGACCAGTGTGATTCTGTAATATGTACAATCAGAAAAATGAGAAATTGTACCCCATCTATGTATGATATATCAAAGTGCATAAATGCATTCTACTTTCATGTAAACATTAAACAATTAAAACAAATTTAAAAATTTAAAAAAATAGAAAATTCATATAGAATCTCAAGGGATCTTCAGTAATCAAAACAATCTTGAAAAAAAAAAGATGAACAGAGCTAGAGAACTCGGGTTTCAAACCTTGCTACAAACCTACAGCAGTCAAACAGTGTGGCCCTGGCAGAAAGAGAGACATACAAATGACAAAGGCACTGGGACGTGGAGTAGAGTAGAGAGAACAGAAATAAACCCTCACATATATGGCAAAATAATTTTTGACAAGGTTGCCAAGACCAGTCATGAGGAAATGACAGTCTTTACAACAAATGATTCTGGAAAAACTGAACAACCACATGCAAACGAATCAAACTGGGGGCTGGGATTGTGGCTCCGAGGTAGAGTGCACGCCTAGTATGCATGAGGCAGTGGGTTCGATCCTCAGCACTATGTAAAAAATAAAATAAAATAAAGATATTGTGTCCACCTATAAATAAAAATAAATTTTTAAAAAAGTGTCAAATTGGATCCCTACCTTACACCATATATAAAACCTCAACTCAAAATGAACTAAAGACCTTAGTAAAAGCTAAACTATACAATTTTTAGAAGAAGCTTAGGGTAAAAAACATCACAACATTGGATTTTTTTTTTTTTAAACAGGTCCTCACTATGTTGCCCAGGCTGATCTTAAACTCCTGAACTGAAAGGATCCTCCTGCCTCAGCCTCTCTAGTGGTGGGAGTAGAGTTCCGTACCCTGAACCTGGCCCACAGAATTGGATTTTGCAATACTTTATTGAATATGACACCAAAGGCACAGGTAACAAAAGAAAGACACACAAATCAGATTTCATGAAAATTGTAAAACTGCTGTATATCAAAAGACAATACAAACACGTAAAAACAGCAACAAATGGAACTGGGAGGCAATATTTATAAGTGACTTTCTGATAAAGGGTTAGTTTCCAGGCAACAGAGAAAGTCTAAAATTCAACATGAAAAGACAAAAGACATGATTTTAAAATGGGCAAAAAAACTTGAGTGACATTTCTCCAAAGAATATATACAAATGGCCAAAACTCTCATGAAAAGCTGCTTAATATGACTAACAATTGAGGCAATGCAAATAGAAACAGCAAGCTATCATCTCATACCCACTAGTATGGCTACTATTAAAAAAGAAAAATATACCAGAAGATAAATGTTGGTGAGGATGTGGAGCCATTAGAATACCTGTGCATGGTTGGTAGAAATGCCAAATGGTCCAGCCACCTTGGAATACAGTAGGAACGGATAGAATCACTACACGGCTCAGCAGTTCTATCTCTGGATATACATCAAAATGAACCAACAGCAAGTCTTAAAGAGGCATGTGTGCACTCACGTTCACTGCGACAGGTTTTAACAAGAGCTAAAATATGGAAGTCATCCTAGCATCTGTTGATGGATGAATGGACTGGCAGGGTATGTTAGATACATATGGAGGAATATTGGTCAGTCTCTAAAAGGAAAGAAACTCTATAATCTGGTACAACATAGATAACCTTTGAGGACATATTAATAAGCCTGTCACAAAAAGACAAATATTATAAGATTCCACTTAAATGAGGCAGCTAGCATAGTCAAAATCAGAGACGGAAAAGAGAAAGGTGGTTGCCAAGGAGTGAGAGGAGGGGGAGTGAAGAGTTATTGTTTAAGGGGTACAGAGCTTCTGTTTTAGGAGATGGAGAGAGTATGGAGATGGTGGTGGTGGTGGCCACACAACTGTATGAATGTATTGCCACTAAACTGCGCACCTACAAATGGTTAAGATGGTAAATTTTGTTATGCATGTTGTAACCACAATAAAAAAAATTTTTGAAAGAAAGAGACAACACTAACACCCATCCTACTGTGTACTGTTGAGTCTCAAACTGGTGTCCTTGTAAGCTCCTGGGAAGGTAAAATTGACTGTTGAGTTACAGCATCTCTGGTTCTATTACGTAACTAGCTAACATTGCAATGTCCTCCTGTAAAAGCTAAGACAGCTGTTTAGTGGAAATTCCAATGTTCTTTCTACCCTACCAAGGAATACTATTAATATTATTAATATATAATAAGATGACTATTAAAAATCTGAAGAAACCAATGATCAAGAGAAATGATCAAGCCAGGTGGCCATTTGAGCAGACACTTTGCCTCCCAACATGATCATCAAAAACCTCGCATTATTCTCAAAACATCCTTGTCAAAAAAAAGCAATGTTGAAAATAATATCCAAGTTTTGAAAATAAACTGCTGTGCTCCAGAGTAAAGCTATGGATATTTTGATGGGAAAAAAAGGATGAATGCTTTCCAGATCCTAGTAATGCTTTGCAAAAATGCAACCTGATCTTAGCCTCCTATTTGTTAACTGATCAAATTTACCTCTTGCTTTCCATAATAAAAGTCCACTCATTGCCAAAGTTCATTGTTGATTTAAGCCAAAGGTCACTTAGCAAACACATCACCTTCTTTATGCTTCTCTCTCTCACCCTACCATGTCTGGAAATATCAGGAAGTCCTGCCAGAAACCTCAGAGGGTGCTCTTTAACCTTGGATCTTCATTTGTCTGTACATGATTGAACAATTCATTCTCAATCTAGGAGTTGCTCCCTTTGACTGTGTGGAAGAGGCTAGAATAGACCTGAAGGTGAAATAAACCTTTTGTTCCTGGTACTACTTTTAAGAACGTGAATTTTTAGGTAGTTGGTAGGGTTAGAGGTGGGAGTCTCACAGATCTAGGTTCAGGAGTGCTTTTCTCCTTAAGCTACTTGATCCCTTGGAGATCCTGAACCTCTGTTTTCTCATCAACTAAATGTATTAATATTTGTTTCGCAGGATCAATAACAGTGAGCAACAAATAGCAAATATTAGTGTTAGTTTCTCTCACTTTTTCCATATGCCCCTGGGTGCCCCCAATTCTATTTGTTTGTACTATTCTGATAGCAGTTTTCTTTTCTGGTTTTGTATATCCTCCAATAAACTGCTGCCATGAGTGCTACAAGTGTACCTAGAACACATGTAGGGTCTAGGAACTATGTACCCAAAGAAGATTGATGGGTGGAAAACATATTGGATAGAAAAAGAAACCTCAATCTCCAGAGTTGTTCAGCAGTCAAAAGAATCATCTTGTGCTCTTTTGGAAGGAGCCTTTGGGTGTGGTTTCAGTGATTACAATATAAGCTCCTTGGGAGCAGAGATCTCGCCGGTTCATCAACCAGAGCCCAGAACTCCTGTTGGGCATTTGCCCAGTGCTCAGTTCACATCTATTTTCTCAATTCATAACAGAGCACACTTAGATCCAATTTGCTTTTGTGGTAACCACGAGAAGTTTCTGGACCCTGGCATGGGGAAGGAGCAGGGATTCTAAGAAGTAACTTTAACATTGGACGAGGATGACACTGGTCACTCACCACTTACCCTAATCATGCAGTTCCCAAAAAGATAATTCAATTTCCTCCGTGTGSAAGCTGATTTGAAACAGGTCAGGGGAAAGTGAAATAGCCACCTTTGGCCCATTTCTGACAAGATGCTATATATCAATGAGTTCTCTTCAATGGCATTTCCTGTTTGGAAAGGGAAATCCTGCTGTCACTTCTCCCTGAGGAAGTACCAGCATGGTGCTGGGTACGGTGGGTCTCTCGGGCTCCTTGTGGTGTCTCCTGTTGTATAATACTGTGTGAGCACAATGCAGTTCACATACCTGAAAACATCATCATGTGCTGAAAGTTCCAGGGGATCCTCTGCTTTCGGCCCAGATTGAGGAGGAAGGAGAGGGGATATATGTTGCAGGCTCTAGCAACAAAAATTGCTAGCTGTAGACAAGCACAAGGACGCATTGAGGAAAATGTCACTGTGACGAGGGGTTGGCTCTGAGCTTAAATATTGTGTCCTTAAGCTGCTTTATATTACGACCCAGAAAACAAAGATAAACATGTCAATGCCTGTCTGTCCATCTTGCTTCCAGAAGTCATCTCTCAATGTCAATTCCTTTCCAGAAATCATAGAGAACTCTGCCTTTCTTTGAATACATAYGTGATTTAAAATTGTTTGCCCCATACCATTTCAATCACTGTGAATTTTCTCATCACACTTATGGTGCCAATGACTGGCTCCATCCTCAATTCTGCTGTGAAATGTGAGGCAGCGACTGTTCCTGGCATTATCTTCTCAAGCAGCGCTTTAGAAAGGACAAATGCACTTTTCTGCTCATGATTCACATCTCACTTTCCATCAGTTTATACACTCGTATCTAGCCAGTTTTGCTTCCCTTTTTCTTTTTTAGTGGATTTAATTTTAAGAGGAATTGTCTGTCTAAATATGTGACACAACTGCCGCTTTAAGAGGCATTTTATTAAAATCAAGGTTGTAGAAGTAAAAAAATCTATGAAAATACTGGTGTATCCATCTCTTCTTTTTTTTGCTGACTTTGACTCCGTTCCTGATGGTCTGTTGTGGTTTGTTCTCAATGGAGTAACATTATTTGGGAAGAGGGAACTTTCTCCTTAGATCCTGGTTTTGAATAAAATTTGAGAAATAAGACAGAGTAAGAATCTAATGAAATTAGCATGATAATTTGAGAGTTCAGCTGAATGCTCAATGAAAGGAGGAGGAAATGGTAAGTGCAGGTGCTTAGTTAGGATAGCTTTAAAAGAAGGGTCAGCTCTCCTGGCTGTGAAGATGATCTACCAGTGCCACAAGAAGGTATCTTCTCATTTTCTACATAGGAAGAAGAACAACAGCTGCTAACCATGCCTGGGGACATTCCTGGTGGCTCAGTGTCCCTTTAGGCAGATATCTGTTCCCATTGGGGATGCTTCCTGCCCCAGGCCTATGGATTTGAAAGTCCTCTGCATTGAAGATGAAGTCTAGATTTTATCTGTCCTCTTAGGAAAGCAAAGATGCTTTCTTACTGAAACAATTTTACATGTGCACAATATTTATAATGTTGAGAGTATATCTATCATGCAAATTTCATCAGTTCCTCACTGTGTGTTAGTTCCAYGGCCATCATTGAAAAAATAATTTTACCATCTTGCAATGAAAACATCTCCAAAGCTTAATAATCCTGCTTGCCTTTTGATGTACGAATTCCAATTAAATACATTTCCCATAAGAAATGTCTTGACATAATTTTTATGTAAATGATTTATAAATTTTTAGCTAAACATACTTGGAATACTTTAAAAATGTCACTCTCCTTTAGTGTTCCCTCTTATTTCCCTCAGTATTTTCCAAATGTCTTATCCTGAACTACAGGTATCTAATGATGTCCCCAATTTGTTAGGATGTTTTTCTCTCCTGACTGGAAATGGCATTGTCTGCCTGAGTCTGAGCCTCACAGGGAAACCSAGGTCGTACATTTAAAAGTCACTGGTTGTCTCTCTTCTCTCATCACCCCATGTTTTGTATTTCAAAGGATACAAAGGCTCCAAGTATAAAAAGAACATTAAAGATGTGGTTCTGGAAGGTGAACAGCGCCAGGCCCATGTAACAGAAGATGACGTTCTCGGCCAAAAAGTTCATGAATTCAAACAACTGAAAATAAAACAGAAACCAAAAACCATTAATTATCACTCAGGCGTCCATCCACTGAAATTCTGGGAACTGTGTTTGATGAGCCGGTGGTTCTCCTCCGTCATCTGGAAAGCCATTCAATGCGATCAGCCTCTCTGGGGCCTGTGGTCCCCACCAATTCTGTCAGGTCAGTTGACTTACCTGGTTCTCTCTCTACCCAGTGACACAGGCCACAGGCATGGCCACATCCCCATTCATTTCAACTGTGAGGCTACAGGAGTTACCCCAGGTAGTACTAACCAGCATGATTCTACCATGCAGTGATTCTTACTAAGATGGCAAAATATTCCATTCAAGAAACATAAATCGAGTTGCAGTAAATGATGCAGGATGACTTAACCCCTTCCATGTATCATCCAGGAGATGTACATAAGTACCCAGGCCCCAAAGAACCAAATTTAAAAAAAAAAAAATCTTAGACTAAATTACCCTCTTCAGGCAGGCAGAAGAGACAAACTTGGAAAATTTGGAATAAGGATGAACTTTGATTATATTTTAGCATTAGAACGATCAGTTTATTTTGAGCCCCAGACAATGACACTCATTAAATTGACTGATGTAGGCATATCCATTAAATGTCTACAATTTTYAGCTGGTAAAAAAGAAAATGATTAATCCCAGGGATCAGTTTATGCAGCAAGAACACAATAGATACATCAAATTCAGTCAGAAGAATGGAGTAATAGCATGCTGTGCCCAGGGATGAGCCTGAGAGTTATTCTTAGACCATTAACTAAACAATTTAACTTGAACATGAAAAACGTTCTCCAACTTCCATATTAAAAGTAAAAGGGAAATGTGTCCAGGGGCAACAAAGGCAGATTTGGAAGAGACTTTATTTTATGTTGCAGACTTTTCATTTTGGAAGTTTCTGAAACTTCATTCCCAGACCTACATAAATCACAGTTAGGTAAACGTCTCTGGAGGCATTTCTCTTGATTTTTTAAGGACTCATTATTTTTTCATGTAATTTATTTACAACCCCACAAATAATTCCCAATACCTGTTCCCTGACAGATGACAGAAAGAAAAGCAGAATCTTGTCAGGAACGTTATTTAAAACAAGGAATAGAAAGAAAGGATTAAAAAAGACACAGCTTCTTCAGTCCAAGATGGTCCTTCCGCAGTGGCAGCCACCATCAAGTATCCTGAGCACTCATTTTATGTTTCTAGAGTAATATAAACAAACATGCTCCTCAAATAGCCACAGAAAACTTGAAAACATGGGCTCAGGGGCAACYTTTTTCTACCTCTTTATATTCTTACTGCCACAGTCTGACTGGGCACAAATCACGAGCCACTCAAGAGGAACAAACTTTATTTCTGAACTCCACCAGCACACTCCACACACACTCCCCGGGAACTCTCCCGAAGGCCACATGGCTCCTCCAGGAACCACCAACCGGAAATCCCTCCTCCGGCATCTCCCCAACCAATGTGAACTCTTCAGGAATCCCTGCGAGAGCTCAACCGGAACTCAACGGGAACTCTGAGAGAACTCAAAAGTCATCATCTTAATGGCTCACTGGCATCACCTCTCAACCACTACTTCTGGCAAAAATGCCATGTGTCATCCCAACTYGGCTGTGGCCCTCAACACCTTACTTTTTCCAAAAGTGAGAGTTGAGTGATTAAAGTACCAGTTGTGTATTTCTCACAGTTCAGAGGACTGGGAAGTCCAAGATCAAGATGCCAGCTTCCATGTTGTCAAAGACCCTCTCCCTGGTTTGCAAATGGCCACCTGCTTTGTTCTCACACAGATGAGAAATTATCTCTCTGTGTCTCTTCTAGACAATAAGGATGCTAATTCAATTCATGAAGTCTCCACTACCAACATCTAACTACCTCCCCAAATTCTCACCTCCAGATGGCATCCCAGTGAGAATTAGGATTCAACACAAATTTGGGGGAAGGCACAAGTATTTAATCCTTAGCAGCAACCTGGTTTTTAACATTAATAGAGAAAAACAAGTTTAAATTCATATAATTTCTCCGTCAGTCCCCATCCCAAGTGTATTTTGCCCTAGAGGATATTTTGCCTCCTGGAATCTACTCAGCCTTTTCTTAAGTGATGATACCCCAATATTCCTCTGGAGGGTCCCCCTTGTTCTCCATCATCTCCCTAGCTCAGATATGAAGCATGTAGCCTTGTGACTAAATTACTCAAATCAATGTGTTTCTCTAGGAAATGTGTTTGGTTCCAAAGTGGGTGTGACATATTGAGAGCAAAAGAAATTCCATGAGGTCTTGGCAGGGAAAAGATCTTGCAGGACAAAGATTCCTGTGTTCTCACTGGATGAGAAATCAAAAGGTTTCACAAATGATGTCCAGGAAGCTTCTGCCATTCTTCTGATCATAGGGGAAATGGTCCTGAGAGAAGCTGGGTCTTGGTTGCACTATTTAAGTTACCTGTGTTTGACCTCCACCAAAGCAAAATCTACCTGTGGACTTTTGAATTAAAGAGACAAAGAAATCATTTTGGTTTGAAGTAGAGGTCTATCATTTAAATCAAAATTCCCCTCCACAGTTCTGCACTAGTTTTTTTAAAGACATTTTCCACTTTATTAGAATATAAACAGAAGGGCATGGGGTCAACTTTTTACTTTTTCAGATAATAACAGTCTCTTATTGTTGCCCACTATTCCCCCAACCCCAATTTTAATCTATTTATTACCCTAATAAGAAAGGAAAAGTACATGGAACAAATTAACTGTCCCTGCTAGCTATTGAGATATGATGAGAATTTTTGCTATACACATTACATGGGGTTCTATGGTCTTAAAGATTTAGTTTAGAGATTGGCTTCCTTTGGATAACTCAGGGTTTTAATTTGACTTATTAACTTAGCTCATTGAAATCTAACACTGACAAACACTACAAGTTAACTGTGTATCTGCATGTAGTACACAAGTTCCATCAGCAGTTTTAATTGCTTAATCTTCTAGCTAACATTTGGTTTTGTTGTTTTTTCAAATTCACACTTGTTCCTCTTGACACTATCATTTTAACTTAGAAATCATCCTGTTAATTTGCCCCMAAATTTCCTACTGGTATTTTAGATGGAATTGCATTGAATTTGTAGACACATTTGGACAAAATATACATCTTTCCAGTATTAAAGCTCTAAATCCATGAACATTGTTCATGCTCATCACTATTTTGGTTTTCTTTAATTTCTTTTAGTAATTTCTATAGTAAGATTTTTGTATAATTTGTTTAGATTTATTTATAAGTGTTTGACACCATTTATTATGATTGTAAATAAAATCTTTTTCCTATTTCATTTTCTAATTGTTTGTTGTTATATTCACAAATATAATTTTTAATGGCTCTTACATTTATACCTTTATTAAATTTATTTAATAATTCTCAGTTTATTGATTGATTCTTTTTTTTTGATTTTTACAATCTTGTTTTTTAAGAAACATGGTTATAGAATAATATTAAGCTTTTTGTCTTCCTTTTCAGTCTTTTAACACTTTGCATCTTTTTAAATTTGTTGTTATTGTTTCATTACACTTGTTAAGACCTCTAGTATAGTGTAGAATGGAAGTGGTAATATGAGTATTTTTATTTTATTCTCAATCTCAAAAAAACCCACTTCCAATGTTTCTCTGTTAAATTTATAGAAGACTCTTTAACAGATTACACAAGTTCTTTCTATTCTTAGTGTATTCGGAATAGTCATATGAAAAATAAGAATGTGTTGATTTTTGTCAAATACTTTTTCTTCACTTATTAGAATGATCATATGTTTTTTACATTCTTTCAAAAGTAGTTAATTACTTTAGTTGATTTAAATGCTGAAACAATCTTGCATTCCTGCAATAAAACCTAACTGATCATGATGTATTATCCTTTTTTCATATGCCACTGAATTTGATTTGATATATGTTTAAGGTTTTTGTGCTTATATATTGTGTAGTACTCACCAGATTGAACTGTTAAAGTTATATAAGTATCACAAAATTGGTTGCTTTCTTGCTGAAACACTAAGACTAATTCTGGGCTTGTAGTTTCTTTGTAGATAGATTTCTATTTATATAAGTAATTATTTCAATAGAAACAGATATGTGTTAGTTAGCTTTTTGTTGCAGTGACCAAAAGACCTGACAAGAACAACTTAGAGGATGAAGTTTATTTTGACTTACAGTTTCAGAGATTCAAGTCCATGATCATCTAACTTCATATGTCTGGGTTCAATGTGAGGTAGAATATCATGGTGGAGGGCATGGTGAAAGAAAACAGCTCAGGATATGACGGCCAAGAAGCAGAGAAAGAGATAAAGCAGTCTGCTCGCCAGGAACAAAATATAAACTCCAAAGGCATCTCCCATTGACTTCCAGCCACGCCCTACCTGCCTACACTTACCACTCAGTTAATTTTCATAAGTGGATTAATCCACTGATTAGGCTACACCTCCCATAATCTCATAATTTCACCTCTGAAAATTCTTGCATTGTCTCACAGATGAAGTTTTGGGAGACACCTCATATTAAATCATGAGATAGAATTAGTCAGATTATTTTGTATCATTTTATTAAATTGTGTTTTCAAGGAATTTGTCATTCATCTACATTTTCACATTTATTAGCATACAGTTGTTCATAATATCCTCCATGTTTTARTGCCTTTAGTTTTTCCTTTCATACCTGACATTGGTAATTTGGCTCTTTCCTTTTTCATTTCTGATAAACCTTTTTAGAGAGTTTCCAATTTAAAGAGTGTTTTCATAAAACAACTTGGGCTTTGTTGATTTTTCTGTATTGTACCCTTCCCCCATTTCATTAATTTCTTTTATCTTTATTTTTTCCTACCTACTTCATACTTTAGTTTTATTTGTTTTTATTCAGTAGCTGGCCTTTCAAATTCTGGCTATTCTGGTGTCCTCAAATTCTTCTGAATACCTCCTTTTCTGTATACTACTAGTTGCTTTCTAAAGGAGAGTTGTCCTGATACCC